ACACAAGTATCTATTAGAAACTCAAACTTATATGAAACGTATGCTTTGTTTCGTTAATCATTTATGTTCTATGTAACAGGAATATGCCACAGCAAAGCGTGGCAGGGTACAGCTAGTATGGTATAATTCTATTGAGAGTGTTTTCAAATCAAGATTCCTCAAATACCTTTCGTTTTGTACCTATATTGTAACATTTCATTTATTTTATAAATTTAATGGAGTTCTATTTTCAAACAGCTGGCAAACCTCTTCAAACATATTTTCGACTGTAAGTCTTCTTAAAACTCTTTAGTCTGATACCCATATTGTATTATTTCATTTATTTAATCAATGTAACTGAGTTCAAATTTTCAAATAGCTGGCAAACCTCTTCAAACATATTTTCGACTGTAAGTCTTCTTAAAACTCTTTAGTTTGATACCCACATGGCAATATTTCATTTATTTTATCAATTTAATTGTGTTAAAATTTTCAAATAGGTGGCAACCCTTCTTAAAAATATTTCAAACTGTCATGTTTTTTAAACCATGTTTTTTATACCTTTATTATAATAAGTCATTTATTTTATCAATTAAATTGAGTTAAATTTTCAAACAGGGGGCAAACCTCTTCCTACATATTTTCGACTGCTAGCCTTCTTAAATAAGGTTTATTACCAACATTGAAATTTTTCAATTATTTTATCAATTTAACTGAGCTAAAATTTTCAAATAGCTGGCAGCCCTCCTCAAAAATATTTCCTACAGTCTGTTTCTTAAACCTCTTTAATTTGATACCTTTATTGTAATAATCCATTTATTTTATCAATTATATTGTGTTAAATTTTCCAACAGGTGGTAACCCCCTTCAAACTTATTTTCGGCTGTAAGCCTTCTTAAAAATCTAAAGTTTAATACCCACATTGCAATATTTCATTTATTTTATCAATTTAACTGAGCTAAAACTTTCAAATAGCTGGCAGCCCTCCTCAAAATTAATTCCTAAAGTCATATTTCTTAAGCCTCTTTAATTTGATATCTATATTGTAATGTCATTTATTTTATAGATTAAACTTAGTTAGATTTTCAAACAGGTGGTAACCTTCCACAAACATCGTTTCGGCTGTGAGCCTTCTTAAAACTCTTTAGTTTGATACCCACATGGCAATATTTCATTTATTTTATCAATTTAATTGAGTTAAAATTTTCAAATAGGTGGCAACCCTCCTTAGAAATATTTCCAAGAGTTATCTTTCTTAAACCTACTTAATTTGATACCCACATTGCAATATTTCATTTATTTTATCAATTTAACTGAGTTAAAATTTTTAAATAGTTGGCAGCCCTCCTCCAAAATATTTCCAACTATCATCTTTCTTAAACTCAGGTATCAAGTATTGTAATATGTCATTTATTTTATCAATTAAATTTAGTTAAATTTTCAAACTGGTGACAACCCTCCTCAAACATATTTTCGGCTGTAAGCCTTCTTAAAACTCTTTAGTTTACACCCACATGGCAATATTTTATTTACGTTATCAATTTAACTGAGTTAAAATTTTCAAATAGGTGGCAACCGTCCTCAAGAGTATTTCCAGCAGTTATCTTTCTTAAACCTATTTAACTTTGTACCATTGCAACATTTCATTAATTTTATCAATTTGACGGAGTTAAAATTTTCAAATAGGTGGCAACCCTCGCCAAAAATATTTCCAGCAGTTATCTTTCTTAAACCTCTTTAATTTGATACCCATATTGTAATAATTTATTTATTTTATCAATATAATTGGGTTACAATTTTTTTAAATAGGTGGCTACCCTCTAATTTTTTGCGATATCATTGGTTTTGGTATTATACCGAACAATACAAAAACAAAATTATTCAAATCGGTTCAGCCGTTCTCGAGTTTTGACGACCGTGACATACGAACACAGCATTTATATATATATAGATACACTGAAGAGCAAAACTGGAACAATAGAACGGAAAGTTAAGTTTGTGGTAATGTACTTCTTCAGTTTATTTACTTTATGGTAATTCAAACTTGCATTTCGCCTTACCGATGTTTAATTAAACGTTTGACCATAAAAATTTTGAGATTCGCATATGGAAACTCAGAAAAAAATGACCAAACAAAAATGAACTGGATTGTTCCAGTTTTGCACCCTCTTAGTAATTGCTAAATTTTATAATTCAAAGAGGAGTTCTGGCTCATTTCCTGCAATTTTGTAATCAAGGCGCGTGGAGATTTTCGTCGTCACTGGTTTCGAAATGGATATTAAATTTAAAAAAATCAAAATGGCGGATCCAATATGGCGGACGATTTTCATAAAATGTGTAGATTGATATGAAACTTGGTATCCAAAGATTTTCGTCGTCACTGATTTCGAAATTAATATATTTTCAAAAAATCAAAATGGCGGATCGAATATGGCGTACCAAACAATAGGCGTTTTACTTTTGACGCAATGTATTACCTTTAGTACCATTAGAACCCATTTTGAATTTTGAAAATTTAATTTCAATTTCGTAATAAAGATAACGAGGATCTCTGAATACCAAGTTTCATAACAAAATATAATTTAAAAAAGCGGATATTGGATCCGCCATTTTGATTTTTGAAAATTGAATACCAATTTCGAAACCAGTGACGACGAAAATCTCTGGATACCAAGCTTCATAACTATCTATACATTTTTTAAGATATCTCCCGCCATATTGTATCCGCCATTTTGAATTTTGAAAATTTGATATCAATTTCGAAATCATTGAGAACGAAATCCCCTGGATACCAAATTTCATTGAAATCTGTCAAATACATATGGAGTAAACATTTTTGTCCTCCTATATTCTGGATTCGTGCCAATAAACGACTCAAGAAAAAGATGCTCTATTTAATGAAAGGGGAAAACGGGGACGAGTTCGTGATATTTTTACATTGGCAATTTGTTGGATTTTCTGTCGAAGAGAAATTGCTGTACTCGTTGGAACTTTTTTTGTAACTCTAACTAATATACAAATTTTACAATTTTTTCAATAAAAAAAGGCAATTTATAAAATAGGTATTATACCCATTTTACAAACAACTATATTATTAACAAAAATCGCTAAATAAAGTACATACCTCACGCCTCACTTTCCATGTTAACCAAACTATTAGTTTTTAATAAGAATAAAATGACAAGCGAAACTATTTTATCATCGCTTCAAATAAAAAAATTTTTAATTCGACGCAAGATAGAAAACCAACTTCGCGCTTCTGCTTAAGCTGCTGCGTTGCGTTAAAAGTCAAAATTTGTGTGTTACATTGTGGACTGGTTTATAAGGAGTATTGGAAAGGTATATGTGATAAGATTTAAAGACTTTTGTTTTTCTATTTTTGTCGTCGTAATTACTTACTTTGTCCTTATGTGCAGCGATACGACGAACATCATGTAAAACCTACAGAATTCGAAGTTGATGACTTGGTGTTAGTCGAGAATGAACCCTCTAGCACTGTTACGTTGAGAAATTTGGAGCCTCGTTTCAACGGTCCATTTAAAATTAAGCAAGCCCTTGGTAAAGACCGTTACCTAATTGAAGACTTGCCAAACACCAAACGAACGTCACGTCACTATACTTCAGTCTACGCATGTGATAAGTTGAAGTTATGGTGTCAACTTCCCCCTAATTTCGAAAACGACGATAACGATTCTGACGATGAAAATGAGTGCTGCGAGGTCGCTATACATTTCCAGGATAGCCGACTGTAAGGTAACTCTAGCAGCACAAGCATTTGTTTGACTGAGTGGCAGCATCGTCCATTCAACGTTCATCTTACTCAACGAGAGTCGAAATGTAGCCGCCGCCGTGTTAACAGCGTATCAATTAATTAATATATTTTTACAAAACTTTTATGTACAAACTTTTTCTATTACTTACAACATTTTTAAATAAACCTGAATTGAACTTTTGTCACTATTAAAATAAACTCGGTTCCTTTCAATAATTATATTTCGCCTTCGTGTTTTCACACCAACGCTGACGATATGTAAGCACGACTTTATGGTTTCGCTTCTCACACGCTTGACACGCACACTTATGCAGATGCTTTGGGATTTGTGTGGCCGGCATTGTTGTAAAACGACAAACAACATTGTAAGCGACAGACTTCGGAATAAAACTGGCTGTCAAAAAGTAAAGACGGGTTTGTTCCTTTGATCTCGCCATACTATACCTTCATATTAATTTTTATGTTAAATCGCTTTATTATGACATAATAGATTGTTGATTGTGTTTGCTCATTATTGACATTAGAGTTTTGACACTCCCTTAACTCCCTTACAAAAGCTTTGCACACACACACGAACCCACCCACAGTGTCTTGCTAAGGGAGCCGATTTTGTCAAGAGGGAGCGAGAAAACTGTTTTCTGAGCAAACCTTTTATTATTTAATTATGTTGGATAGGCACCAGCTTTTGGCCTAAACTTTATTAAAGTGGAGCACAAAATGTTGGCTTTGTTTTATTTTTTATGTTCAAACCAGGGTCGTGAACAGGTTTTGAACCGGAAAACAGCTTTTTTCTATTAATTAACTGAACCATTAACCGAACCGAAATTTTCCACAAATGTTTGATCCGAACCGAAAGCCAAACCACTTTTCATAAAGGTTTAAAGGTTCGTTCCAACCAATTTTTAATAGATAAATGTACCCACTTTTTTTTCTTTTTGTTAAATATGTTAATACCTACCATGTTTATTTACCATGACCGAACCGAAACCCCGGTTCAAAGACCAAAAAACCGCTTTGACGAACGAATCCAAAAATGCAAAAACGGTTCGAACCGCTGAACGAACCGACCACATTTTTCATCAGGTTCACGTCCATGGCTCAAACCTACCATATTGACTTGACAAGTTTTTAAAACTCCATTTTTCCTTTCAATGTACTACTTCAACAGCACAGGGCAAAAGTTTTTCGAAATTTCGCAAACATTTTAATTTTTATGCGTTTCTTCGTGAAAGAAGTCATGTTTTTATTTTTTCCCCTTTGTCAAAATCTAAAATATAATTAGTGGAATAGATTATAAAAGAAAATTAATTTCAAAGATTAGAGTCGATAAATAAAATAAAAGCACAAGGCATATGTCTTGCCAGTGGACCTCACGTGACACATACGTTATTATAAGAAGGCTGGTTAATTTGATTGATTTATTTTAACTCATCTTGTACTAGACTCAGTAAGTAGAATTAACCCATGCCGTTAAAGTACACTTAATGTAAATTCCCATATCTTGTAGTAATAATGATTATTTTTTCTCCTCATCTGTAGGATCACAATCAGCGCAATGCCATGAGTAACCGCGTATTTTTGGTGTCTTTTTTAAAGGAGGATCTAAGCATACAAAATGGTAGTGCTTATGGCACTCATCACACGTTACCCAATTACTATTAGCACCCACTTCCTTACAGACGCAACAAAAAAGATTTAATGTTGATTGAGCTAATATTACTGATTTCGATTGAGCCAACTGCAAATTTCTTTTACCAGCTGTTTTCCTTTGGCTGGTTTTACGAGTAGAGAGCGATACTTTTACTGTCCTTTCTGATTTGCCTTTCTCCAATTTTTGTGTGGAAAGTGGTGTTATATCTTCTACTGTTTCCACCGAAGTTGGGCGTGATGCCTCTTCAGCTGAACGAACCATATCGGCTGACACGTAAAAAAACTGCGCTTCTGGTGTAACTTCCCCCGGCAATGGTAGCGTCTTAAATTTAATTTTAATTTTTGGAATGCCTACTTCGTTTCCTTCATTGGGATTTTCTGGTTCATGAGCATGTAATTTTTTCTTTCGCTTCCGTTTGTGCTCCTTATTTGGTGATTTTTCTGTATCTGATGATACGTTATGTTTGTTTTTATGTTTATCTTTTCGTTTCTGTTTCCTTGCCTGTTTATTCGGATCAGAGGAATCTTCCATAGATGAGACGGTAGTGTTGCTGTTTACTGGAAATGCCAACGGATCAGGGTCAGGAGTATGGATAGGATCCATTGCCCGAGGTGCATTAGTTGGCGGCATTACCAATAGCAAAGGTTCGTCAGAGAGAAGTGTGTGGGTTTGATGAGTTGCTGTAACATAGAAAAATAGTTAAAGAAATTAATTTAACTACGACTCATTGCACAGTGATGGGTTTCACATTTTAATTCAGGCTTTAAGGTTTAAAGCCAAAGTTATAATAGCAAATATTTAACAAACAAACTACATATTTTCAAAGTTCAGGTTGAGTTTAGTTACCTGAATATCGTAGTTTAAAGGACAAAACCGCGTATCAAGATAGTGCAAAACCTGTCTTTTTTCAAAACGGTTCTCTCCTTTATTCCTAAAAATCTGTACGTATGATATCTACATATCGATATTTGGGTAGGAACGGAAGATGCTTGATGCCAGGAGCGTCCGGTGAGCAAATATCAGTTACGAAGTTTTGCAATACCACGGTACACGGTTTTGCTATTTAAACGACGATATACTTGTTTATGTCGCTTAATATAGTGGGGCTGGATTCTGTAACTGCGAGTTTTCAAGTGTACACTCTAAATTGCGATTCAGGAAATGTGAGAATGAGTTTTAACTGTCAAAATCGTGTATACTTCACACTATTTTAGTCGGTGATTTTCGGTTGTGAGTTTGGCACTCAGTATACACAGCATTTTCTCATAGTTACAGAATCCAACACCAGTTCTCAATGAAAATCTCCCGAAATACTTTTCCTTATTTCTGTTGCTTGAAAAAGTACTTTGCGTTTCTGTAAATTTTCTTCAAGAAATATCTATACATCTTGTAAAATAAAGACACAAAATATGTATGTAATAATGTAACTTCGCACAGAATGCTCCGATTCGAAAATGGTTTTTTGCATTTTAAAGCTGAACTATCTGGGAAGGATAATTTCAACATTATTTGAAGGAACCTATAAAAGGGGCGTGTCAATATGTCAAAATGTTATAAAAAATCATCGAATCGTTTTTAAAACTGGTATAAATCAAAAACGTTTAAATCGATTGAAATATTTCTTCTTTGCAGTTAAACTTTGTAATGATTACTTACGTTCAGCTTCAAAAACATTAGTTAATTAAACTCAAATTTGTGAAACAAAACTTACACTTTTTCAAAAACAAAGGCTGTTTGTGTGTACGTGCGGTGTGTGCCAAATGTACCCAGCTGCGTTAAGGCTTATTTTCACTGGCATTTGTCGTGAAAAAAGTGAAATCGCATCGTCAAATAAGATTAAAAAAACACTTTATTGATCGATTTCGATCAGGATAGGTCTTTAGTCGTGTACGTGTGCTGATAAATCCGCGATCTCTCTGTTTTTGGCACATAATATTATGGGTAAAGTTATGGATAAAGGAGTTCTGTCAAAATATGTCGAAAAATTTTGGCTTCAAAATATGACATAGTGAAAAACTTCCATTAAGCGGGAAGAAGCAGGTAAAGCAAAGATACGAAAATTTGTGCGCTCACGCATCTGTTCATTTGCGTTGTTGTTAGTGTACCTACATATGTATATGTTCGCTGTTCGGTAACTCCACTAAACACGAATAAGCAAGCAAAGCTAAAATCAAAAAGTATGCTCTTTTTTATTAATTAGAAATGTCAACAGACATTTGATTATGGCAAGGCATCTGCAAACCCTCACAACTGTCAGGTTATCCTGAAGAAAAAAGTATGCTCTCTGATTTCTCTATATGCTGACTTTTTGTATTGCTGCTCACAACTTTGCATTTCCCGCTACCACGAACAAGCACATTTCACCACGCCAAATAGCATCTTCTATAGTAATTATATAAAGAGAAGCCCCTTTTTTAAGAGGTAATCTCGCGAACATCCGTTCCGATTTTCATGAGATATTGTAAATGAATAGTTTCCAGCGACCACCATGTTAAGAGTCAAACCAATTTACTTGTTTCCGGTAGGTGGACCAGGACCGATTTGTTCGAAAAATGTTATTTATAGTCTGATTTGCTTGAAATTTGGTATGTAAGTAGCTTTTTGCCCAGGTTAGCATATAGGATTTTTTTCCGGTAAATGGACCGATTTTCTTGAAATTTGGTACGTAAGTAGTAGCTTATTGCCTGGATTAACATATACGATACTTTTTCTAATATGTGGACCAGGGACCGATCTATTCGAAAAAATCTTATTTATGGTCCGATTTTCTTGAAATTCGGTACACGTATTATAGATATACATAGAATATAATTGACTGATTGTTTTACAGTTCGAAAGGTGTTTTAAGGCACCGCAAAGCATTTGGGTATTGGCTTTTTGTTATGCAGCCCGCGACAAAACGATAGCACCTCAACATTTTGAACAGTTTTGACTATTTATCTTTTGTTTGTTTAATGTTCATTATTTTTGTATAAAATTATAGCTCTTTATCTAACGAAATCAAAATTTCAGACTTTGTATAAAAATTATTAAAATTCCACAAACTTTTCATCCCAATTCTAAGCATTTTAATTTTAATTCAAGAATAATTTTTGGTATGCAGTTTTATAGCTTAGTACCAGGTTGACCGAGCTTTGCTAGGAGTGCATATACTTTTTAAAGTATTCAAGGTTTGGGTATCAAATACTGGTAATTTGGATAGCCTTGAAAAAATATTTTGGAAACAAATGAAAAAGAATGGATTTTGATATCTATAAAGTATATAGTACATATTTGAGCGTATATGTACTGTGTATACATACAAAAAAATGCTGATTGATATTAACAAAATAAAAATTTGTATTACATAGAAGCGTAGCAACCCTGATCGGAAATATTTTCGGACCAAAGTTCTCACCAATACCTTTCCCATTTGATACCCATATTGCGATATTTTACATAAATTGTGAAGAATCGTAAATAAGCGGCAACCTTACACTAATATCCAAAGGGATACAACTTAGTACATAGGGAAAGCATTGTTTAAGAACCTTCTCTAGGTACCCATGAATAGTAATATTGTACCTTAATTTTCTAAACAAAAAAAATAAACTATGCGATTTTGAATTAGGGAGTTATAAAATCCTTCCATATTATGATGTTCTTATTAGTTTGTAACTAATTTCGAATAGGTGGCAACCTTATAAGAGTCCTCTTGGAGATAATACCTATTTAGATAACCTTAAAATGGAAAACATTATCTGTATACAAAATTTCATCAAAATCATTAGACCCGTTTCCGAGAACCTTAGGGATATATGTATATATTTACATACACCCCGCGACAAATGATATTTAGCACATCAACATTTTTACCAGTTTTGACTACTTTTCCTTTGATTTTTTAATGTTCATTATTTTTATATAAAATATAGCTTTATCTAAGAAATGCCATATAAATCTAAATTTCCGACTTTGTACAAAAATTACACAAACTTTTCATCCCAATTCCTTGCATTTTAATTTTAATAATCTAGAATAATTTTTGGTATGCAGTTTTATAGCTTATTAAATTCTAGTATGATAAAGTGCAACTTTTAAGTTGCTAAAAAATCGCGTGGAGTTTTTTTTTGCTGACGGTATCACGCATTTTCTTCCATACAAAGTAATCTCTTAAATGGAAAAGAGGGCACAACACCGTCAGCAAAAAATTATCAAAAATCAACACGACTTTTCAGAAACTTAAAACTTCCACTTTATTATACTAGAATTTAATAAGATATAAAACTGCATACCAAAAATTGTTCTAGAAATTAAAATGTTGATATGCTATCTTTTGTCGCGGGATGTATATACAAGAATTGCTCGTTTAATGTAATAAGACAGAATTCTGGTAAAATTAAGTGCAAGTTTGAAGTTGCTAAAAAACGGTATCACGCATTTTCTTCCATACAAGGTAATTTTTTATACATATGGAAAAGAGTGCATAACAACGTCAGAAAAAGATTATCAAAAATTAACACGATTTTTTAGCAACTTGAAACTGTCACTTTGTTATACTAGATTTTAATAATCTACAAAACTTCATACCGAAAATTAATTTAGAAATTCTAATTAAAATACTTGGAATTGAGATTAAAATTGTGTGCAATTTGTTTAATTCTTGTATAAAGTTTGAAATTTGGACTTACATGGTTTTTTAGATAAGGAGCAGAACTTTAATAAAAAATTAATGAACCTTAAAAAAAGCAACCAAAATGTAGTCAAAACTGGTAAAAATGTTGATGTGCTATCTTTTGTCGCGGGCTGTACCTATTATCGGTGGAGTGCAACAACACCATACGCAATAAGGCCATAATGGCTTTATTTCGCTTGGCGATTGGAAATAAAACCATAACTTCGATACGACCTTATTTCTAACTAGAAATGGAAATAGAGCCATTATGGTTTTATTGCGCTTTTTAAAACTTTTGTTTGGGAAACATAAAACCAGTTTTTGTGGAGAAGGGTTCGGGGGAGTGCATTGCAGCGGGGGTTGCGAGCGCAGTGCGGGGGAGCGAGCAAATGTGTACCCGCCAAGTTATGCCCCCGCAAAATTAAAACTTATGTGAGTACATATACCCAGTGAGTACATATGAAGTGGTTGACACGAACTCGTTAAGAAATTTCTGTACGAAAAATAAAGAAAATTCTGAAAAAATTCTGCAAGAAATTCTTCACATTTCAGCATTACTTTCATTGCTTTACCGATTTTCTTCCGAAATTTCATAAATGAATCAAAGTGTGCACAGTTTATTCCATTTTAGAAAACTCGGCAAAAAATCTGTTGAGATTTTTACGAATTCTTTAAAATTTCTCTAAAATTCAGAATACTCTGAAAAAATGGTTTGAAGGGTATTTATTTTTCAATATCCAATACATCCGGAAATATCAAATCATTACCCTGCAAACCAAAGTTCTCGAAATCTTAACGAAACCTTTAGGAGTATCTCATTTCTGTAACGACTTTTTTACGAATCTTCAAAGATGAAGGGGTTGACACGAACTCGTAAAGAAATTTCTGTACGAAAAATAAAGAAAAATCTGAAAAAATTCCTCACATAGCAGCATTATCTTCATTGCTTTACCGATTTTCTTCCGAAATTTCGTAAAAAAATCGAGGTGTACACAGTTCATTTCATTTTAGAAAATTCGGCAAAAAATCGGATGAGTTCTTTACGAATTCTTTAAAATTTTGCTACAACTCAGAAAACTCTGAAAAAAGGGTTTGCAGGGTATTTATTTCATTTTATTAGTAATAATTTGTATCAATTTAAATAATTCAGTATCATACGTACATACATATGTATATGTTTACAAAATCGAACAAACAAGCTTATTCAATATGGAACAAAGAAACACTAAACTTAAGCTCGGCGCTCACATAACATTTTGGGTAATAGTGTAGCCGAGATGTTGGTACGGCTAAAGCTGGCTCTTTGAAGCGCGGCCGTAGGTTGCCTACTAAAAAAGGAGTTGTGCGCCCAAAAATATTGAATATGGTATAACCGAATTTTGCAAACTTAAATCATAATTATTTTAATTATTTGTACTCAAAATAGTTTTTTAGAAATGTTGTTAGTTTTTATGATTTAGGCCATTTTAACAGTGATGGGTTCGGCAGTTAACTACAAGTTTTCAGTACAAAAATTAAAGTTAACTGCCGAATTTGAATTAAGCCCCCCACTGCAAAAACGGCACTTGAAGTTGCCGCCAGGAGTTAACGTCGTAAATAATGTTCGGAATGTATTTTCTTCCGATAGCTTTTGAAATATTAAAAAAAGTTAATTTCCGTTCCTAGATTCGTAATACTGGGGTTTTAAAATGTGTATATTTGATACCCCTTTTAACAAAATAGTTTGTTGGTTTCCAATGATTTTCTCAAGTGTTCGTAAACTGGAGTTATTACCGTAACAATGTTAACACACGGCGAGAGTTTATTTATTACTTATTCATTAGAACGTTGTTCCCGGAGCCGGATAATCTGAACGCATTATTTTCATTACGTCTCTAGTACGTAATGGCGCTAGAGAAACCAAGTAAGTTTTTGCAAATTGTTTTACGAAAAAATTTTATTAAATATTAATATGCTGATACCAAATAATTTCATTCTCTTCTGTTTCTTTATAACCATTGTTCCTTATAAACTACAAGAATATTCTCTTCTAGATCCGGACTGAATAATAAAGAAAGACTCCCACGGTCAATTAATAGGAAAAGTGTGATCCACAAATAGTGTGGCCAGACATGCATTTCTAGTTGAAGCGGTTGTAATTTCAATTATGACTTTATTACTCACTTGTACAATTTAGAATATGACTTTATTTCACTTCTGGATTGGAAACAACGTCATACGGTTTTATTTCCAAAACAAAATGGAAATAAGACCACATGGGCATTTCCCAAAAAAGGTAAACCGAAAATGCAAGTAAATGAATTCAAACAACTTTATAACTTTAAACTTCGTATTCAGATGGCGAAGAGAGGTTTTGAAAACGCGAAACGGTGGAGAGAAGAACTGAAAAAATTAAATACAAAATTACATTTAGTATGTGTTACTAGTAAAAATATTGTATGGGGGAAAAATCTGTCACGTCCGATATTACGCGTCCGTTACCAGATTTTAATTCAAAATTAAATCAACAACGAATTGCTTCTGATTAAGAATGAATTGGTTTTAACAGTCCATAATTTGACTTTATTTAAATAATTTTTAATAAAGGAAAACCTAACAGGATTCGCTGAGTTTTTTTTTCATTTTTACATGTACTCTGAAACCATTCTGTTTTTGTCGCGCCCGTTATCCCCCCTTTTCATTGATTTTCTCGACGTCAGTGTTCCAAGCGCACCTAATTTTTTGTCAACCAAAGGACGGTATAAAAGCTACGCAACGACAAATTTTTCTCACAAGTGACTTCACTTTTCGTATGATTTATTTAACTCTAAAGTCGTACGAATGTCGCGTCCGTAATCCAGGATATGTCCATATGGCCTTATTGCGGATGGTGTTATTGCACCCCCACCCTTATTATCTATGGTAATTATATACAGAGAAGTCTCTTCTTTTTATAAAAGGTGATCTCGCGAACAACTATACCATTTTTTTTTTTTTTAATTTTGGACACCTACTGCAGACTTTCCAAGAATGGTTATAGGCTGATAATAATTTCGATATATCAAGAGACCGTAGCCTCTCACTTACAAATCGAATGTTTCATACCGCATATCTCTGGAAGTATTTGTGGTAGAGTTCTGGAACTTGGTGAGCAAATATTTGAAATCAACCCCATACTTATGGAAAAAGGTCGGAGCTATTCGAAACTTTTACCTCTATTTGTAAATATATGCATAATTCTTCGGTACATTTGTTTGTGAGTGAACTCCTCCTAAACGACCGAAAAGATTTTTATGAAATTCTTTTACGTGTTTGAGTGGGTCCCTGTATAGTTCAGGTTCACAACTTAAAACGCTACGTGGCGCTGCAGTTATTACTAAAAATCGTATTTACGATACGATTTGGCTCAAATTCGAGATATATAAATATTAGTTACGGTAGGGGCCATACTATCGAAAACAAGTAAGAAAGTCTAAATTCGGGTGGAGCCGAACATTAAATACCAGGCGAAAGTATTAAATATATGTTTTTCACCTTTCCGAAAGCTACCGCTACATGGTAAGCCGGGGTGCATAAATTTTGAGTAAATTAGCATTCTCTAAATTACCGTTATATGGGAGGTAGGCGTGGTTATTGTCCGATTTTGCCCATTTTCAATAATGTCCGTCCTACGCCAGAAAGAAGTGCACGTACCAAGCTTCGATAAGATATCTCAATTTTTACTCGAGTTATCGTGTGCACAGATGGACGGACGGACGGACAGACAGTCATCGCTTAATCGATTTCTCTTTTCATTCTGATCATTTGTGTATACATTTGTCTATATCTGGATTCGTTTTGCCTGTTACAGACAACCGTTATGTGGACAAAGTTATAATACCCTTGTGCACCCGAGCGTATAAAAAAGAGACGCAAGGTGGCGCTGGAGTCGAATTATTTCTAAAAATAGTCAAGTGAAGTCACTCGGAGACACCAGGGATCAAAGTCAAATTACCACCGTTAAATCAACCACCAGAACCAGTGCAATGCTTGCTTTACGGCGACTAAAGAGAATAAAGACAATTCTTGATGAATGCCCACAAACACAATTGTAAGACATTTAAGGTATTTAGTCTGAAATAAGTCTATGTATATTGGATTTCTGTGGACCAATGATTCTCCCCCATTTTGAAATTGCAACCAACTATACTATACAGATTCAAGGACGATTCACAATCGAGCCGCAGGAACTTCTTCACGGACATAACGCTTTCGTTAGGTTATCTAAGGCAGGGGTTCTTAAACTTTTAAGATGATGAAACCCTTACTAAACACCTATCATTTTATGGAACCCCACATCAAATAACTAAAAATCAAAGGCAGTGCAATTTAAATATGAATAAAAACTTTTACTCGAAATAGTATACATATTTTAAATTTTAATGCTATCACTCACACAAGCTTACATGAAAATAGCTATTTACTCAAGGCTTAAAGGTCAGAAAAAAATCGATAGCGACTGTCAAAATTGGAAAGACCAATTTTTTCTTTTTGGAATTTAAAAACAAGAGTTTAGAGTATATTGTGCCAAAATTTCACTGCAATCGCGGGCCTAGAATATATAAATAATTGCAATTGTTTAAATTATTATTATTAAAGAATTAATTGTTTTGCAAATTTTATTCTGCAAATCTTTTTATTGTAAAGGGAAAAGCTTCAGCAACTCTCAAAAAAAATTTCATCAAATGGGTCGCGAGTTACGAATTTTTCTCTCAAAAATTGCAATATTCTTATAATACCAAAAAAAACAAAAACGAAGTGCAATTTCGAAAAACCGTCCAAAGTGTATTTGTTCTATAATTACCTACAGATTCCCACAATTGTCTTCACTTTCCAGAAAATAAACGAAAATTCATTGACACAGTAGGCGTGGTTTGAATCATTGTGATCAGATGAAATAGTCTGCGAGCCAATAATTTTGTACGGCACGGTACTTATAAGTAATCATTAACATATCAGTCATTAAAATATCAGTCATTTGTTTCGTTGCTGTGAACTTGTTTCAAAACTTCTGGCTTTTGCTTAATATAATTGTAAAACTCTGTACATGTCATTTTCACGTATTTAGGTACATACTTATATTAATCATCAACTATTGCTTGTGCAAAACGTGCTAAATTTAAAAAAAAAATCGCATATGAAAGAGCACCAACCCAACTCGTCATAAATTTTAGTATTCAGTATAGAATTATTCAACTGAAATACGCCAATATTAAAATGAAGCGCTTTGCACTTAACGGATGCTTTTTCATAATTAAGTTAAAAAAAAAAAAAATATTTAAATTCCATGCTGCCTGTAATGGGGTTTGAACCCTGACGCTCTGGAAATTAGCAAATTGTGGCAAGCATCTTCGTGCACTCAGCTAAAGCCAGACATGTAAATGTGCATTCAAATGTTCAGTTTGATTCAACACCACGTGTGCGTGGTATGAAAGTATTGTTTTTAAGTACGAACATTTTAAAACGATAATCAAATAAAAAATATTCATGTTTACTGTGCGTTATTTTCCCCAATAAATTCATACAATTTTTCTTAATATTACAACGCGTTTTTTCTCTGTGTAGTAACCTAATTTTACATCGCTGTAGTAGCATGCAGAATAAATACACAAAGAAATACGTATTTCGCTTCATGCAAATTCTGCACAAAACAAAACTCAACAATGTTAGTTCAACATGTACATAAGTATGTTCAAATTAGAATTGATATGGTAAAGTAATGTAGCCCTGTTTTTTATGGGAATCTTGCCTCTGTCTAGCTGAATTCCATTTTTCCAATGCTGTAGTGGCATGTACAAACAACAGCAAATCAGTGATGTATTTACAAAGTGGAATTTCGTTACTAAATATAAAAAAATCTTTAAAATAACAGAATAGTGCGAAGTGTTTAAAAATGCCTAAAGCTAAAAGAAATTCGTCAGGACAAACGAGAGCCGCAAGGGCAATGGCCCGTAATCGGATAATAGAAGCGGCGGCGCGAATAGAAACGATGCTTGCAATCGGAATTAGATCAGCGTTTATTTATCGACCTCAAATCAATTATATAGATGATTTTTACAATAAAAGTCTATCTACACATATCAGTGCCATACCCATCAGTGTGAGTGAAAAATATAATCTCGTTGCCACAATCCCAAATAGAGTTGTTCAGACTGTCCGGCACAGTGCCGTTTTTTACCGTCAGTGCTGCTTCAACGTTCGTTCCGCAATTTTGTTATACACTTTAAAAACTGCATGTAAAACTGCTCCTGAAAAGTGTTTATTTTCAAACAAAATCTGTGTAAGTATACGCATAAGATGTTCAAGACTGGATTTTTGAACATGAGATTTTTTAAAATATATACATGGAATGTTTAAAGCTGCAACCGATTTTAACGCAAAAAAACATTCCCTACTAACAATAAAAACTAAGTACATTTTATGTGCAATTTTGTCCTATACGCCAAACTTGGCATGCAAAAGTTAACAGACCGTGTTTAATTTTATTAACACGGTGTCTAAATGTGCACACATTAGGAGAGGAAACTGGTAACCTCTCTTAATATGCGTTAATTTAAACAAAAAACGTTTAGAGCAAATATTAAACATTTTATGTGTAAACTGTAATTGTGAGCACTAAGAAAATCTATAGAAATTTGTGTAGTTAAGTTTAAGTAATGATTTAACTATACTTTAAAATAGTTATATTAAGGGCCCTAAGGGCCAAATTCACACTGAAAATCTGTAGTCAACTGCCGATTTTGAGTTAACTACGCACTGTGAATTTGGCCTTAAGTGTTTAGAATTCAACAAACAAATTTCACCTCTTTTAATATGCTTAAATTTAAACAAAAAATGAGTGTAGTTAACTCGGCAAAGATTTGTTTGTGTATTTCACTGACGAACTGACGGTTGCAAATTTTTATTTGATATGGAGGAAAAATTAATCGAGTTGGTACGGAATTATCCAGAATTATATAATTTGGCAATAATTGCCAATTGATCATTAGTAAAATAAGTCATCTTGGTTTCAATGAACTTCATTTTACTGAAAGTTCCGGACGACATACTACGGATATGTGTGAATTGGTATCACTGATCGATGCTGATTGGCAATGATACTGAACTGATACGGCACTGATTTGTGAAGATAGATCTTAACTTTTATTATTTTTAACAATCCATTACAACACATTATATGTACATATGTACTAGGGATACAATTGCCGGCCAGATGAATTATGGATACTAATAAAGGCAAAATTCTTCCCCTGAAGAGGTTTTCACATTTGGGTTTCAATACGGTTCCTCCTTAACTTTGAGGCAAAATTACTCACGAGGCGTCGCGAAGCACGCCGGGTATTTGCTAGTAATATATAAAAATCCCGTGTCACTATTTTCGTTTACACTAATCTCCGAAACAGCTTAACCGATTTCAATGTAATTTTGTGGGTGTGTATTGTTTTTTTATTTCATACAATCTTGACAATTTGACCATTTGGACAACTTCCAATGTTATCCATTCCACTGGCTGATGTTTGAACCGTGACCAGAGATATTTTTTTTTCAAACGTAGTGAACAATAATAACAATCTTTTGTAAATTTCGATATCAAATGAAACGTAAAAAACAATATCTACGATGCATGTAACCTGTATCGGTGTAATCGGTGTGTAGCAGGATAACGTCTGCCCGGGCCTACTAGTTATTGTGTAAAATAGTAAACAAGTAAAATTTATTTGAATAAATCGAGTAAAAGGTCTGAAATTTTAAGAAAAAGCAATTGCTTAGTTTTTATTCATAAGGCTCAATGTCTGAAAGCTGTATGCGCATTTCTGGAGTAGCTTCCAATTTCGACATGAATTTGTTTTTTTCTATAAGTGTAAGCTGAAAACCCTGTTGACAGAGTACGTTGTGGCAGAAGGAAGCAAAGTTAAGTTGGCCTTTTTAGCGACTTCATTATATTTACTCTTATAACGGCGACAGATATGTGGTATTTGGATTCTGGTAAATTTATTGAGGTATTTAAAATATTGCCATAGTGACAGACATTAACTTAGTATTTCAGTGTCAAATCATATGTTTCTGAAGAACCACACATAAAAAAAATTCAAAAATATTGCAAAAAATGCTTACATATTGCATCAAAACTTGCCGTATAAACTTTTGGCTTCAATCGCACGAAAATTCCAATAAATTTTTGATAAATGAGCAGCTGACATCTGTCACTTTTGGGTATGTTCAGTGCAAAATGCCCATTCACAATGAGAATATCACAAAATTACAAACTTCGGAAAGCAATGCTTGCACTAAAACCACTTGGCACTTGGGGGAATGAAATGCAAAAGCAGCAAGCTCTAAACGCAGTTTATATAAAGCAAAACAAAAAAAAAACAGGAGTAAAATAATAAGCAAATGCAGGCGATGTTTAAAATCAACTATAGTACCTACATACATATATACATTCATTAAATGAATGTGTGTACTTGTATGCAGGTAAGTACCCTGGTAGACAGCTATTAGCTAAATATCCCATGAATTCTCCAGGAGCTTTACCTTATGTATCGGGCAAAGTTCATATGAGTTTCTTAAGGCCCGTGTGCAGAAATTACCCTATAGTCTTCTATACGTGTGAGTTTTTGTCTTCTTTTAACACCCTAGTCAAATATGTCTCCTTATGTATAACTTCTCTCTTCTTGTCGTAAATCTTGTTGAGTATCTGTACTCTTTTAACATTCACGTATGTCATACTCAGCCAAATATAGCTTGTTCACTCTTTCAGTACTCCTACGAAGTGATTAC